AAATTTTAAAATGTTTCAAAGAATGTAAACAATGCAAACAAATTCCAAACAACAAAAATAAAAAAACAAGACAATTTGTAAACTTTTTCCTGACATTTTTATTTAAAAACAGAATTATCTTTTCAATGCCTGAAAGTTAAGTCAAAATGATGGACACAAAAAAAATGGGGTGTTTTAAACAAAATGCATCTCCTGTTTGTCTGTGAAGAAGATCGAAAACAAAAAAGTAAAAGAAGAGACAGAAATAATATTAAAGCTTTACTCATAACAGAAGGGAAAACGGTGAGAAAGATTAGGAGGAGAAGAGAAAAAAAACAGTAAAAAAGGAGGGTAGGTGAAGAAGAGGTAGGTGGAAGAATTGAGCCAACAAATAGCAGTTTAAAAATATGGCCATCTTAAATATTTAGACTTTGCAACAAGTATTTTTTAATAAAATTTTCATAGAAAATGAATAGTCAGAGAATCTATAAGATTCTGAGTATGTACAATTTTTATGTAATTTTTTTTTTAATCATCTCTGGCAATGAAGTGGGAGGAAATAATGTATTCCTCAGTGTTTTTCTGTTTATCCATACAATATCTCCAAAAGTTTTCAATGAATTTCAAAGACATTTTATGGAAAAGTGGGCCAAGGAAAAATTGATTCAATTTTTAGTATCCACAAATTTCCAGTTGAGAACTATTTCATATATTAAAATAGTCCAAAATAAATGTCTAAACCCAAACTTATAAAGTTACAAATCTCTGTATAATATTCATTTATCATATCTTCATCCAGTTTTTCATGAAAAATAGCTTTGACAGGGGTATACACTCTTTAAGTGCTTTCCAACTCCTCCTTTTTTTTAAAAAAAAAATTTAAAAAGTGTATATGGGACCTTATGCAAAGTGTTTCATTATGTGCTTTTTAAGAAAATAAAAATGCATCATTTTGAAATATGGAATAGAAAAAATAATTTTAAAATGAAATGTGTCTTATAAAATATGGCTAGCCTTAATAAATAGTAATTGGTTTCTAAAGTATTTCTAGGAAATATTTGCAATCAGCATCATTAATGATTAAGTTTTTATGAGTTTGGCAATTTCTGTTTTATTTTAATGAAGTAGCAAATTCCCAAATATGTGAATACAGATGCTATATGTACCTATGTATTTAGGTATATATATATATATAAGTCACTCTTTCTCTCTCTTTACACACACACAAATTTACTGATTAACAGATACTACACGGCAAGATAGAGAGATTGTGAACAAACACAGTATTGTCTCCATACATGAATATTGAAATAATAACATATGATCCAGTCAACGTTCTCATCTTCTTAAATAAGAGACATACAACAACTTAATATATACATGTTATGAGTGAGTTCAAAGAGTTATCCAAATGTAGGTCTGTCTTATATTTGTAGATGTGAGCTTTTAGATCTCTAGATGTTTCACCTATGTAGTTTTTCTGACATTACGTGCATCTATGTACAGAAGAGAAATATATACACTACACACATCATTTCATCCTCAATTTAATATATATTTCCAGCAGAAAGATCATTGTTTTCAATAAACTATAAAAAAAGGTGTCATTGTTTAAAAACAATTATTTTTTTACATCTTTTATTTGAATTTGTTCTTTATGAAATTAAAAATTTCTCTGGTATAGTCATTCTTTTTTCTTTTTTTAACAATACCTACTCCTTTCATAGCTATAAACTCTGGGACATTATTTATCTATATTAATCAGGTAAAAATGTATTATATTGCCATTAAATTTTCAGATTAATACATTCTTAATAACACCAGTTCAGGCTTTCTGCTTCTTTCACAGAGTCAAATCCACCTTATTTCTCCCATATTCCAAATATAAGAAAAAAAAAAAAATTCTGCACAGCTTTTTCCTAAGAACTGCTACTTTGTGAAAAGACTCCCATGTGTGCTTCCATGAACTCTACAATCTTAGCCTCCTGAAGTCAAAGGTCAATCTTTATCTATTTTCCATATCCTCACAACTTCCTACCATGTTCTCTCTCATTCATCATTACCATTTTGACTCAATACCTTGAGTGACTGTTGTAAAGATTTTTGAAAGTATCTTCCTAATTCTGCCAGGTCAAGAACAAACAAAATCATACAGAATAATGTTTCGCCAGAAGATTGTGTAGCACCAGTTCAAAGTATCAGATATGTCTGAAATGAAATTCAGTCTTTTAAACCTGGTTTTGGATTTATCTCAGATAACAAGTGACAGATCGCAAGTTTCTTCCCAATAGGAAAATAATATTTATATTATTCGGGTTATATTCAGGGTGTTGTAAAAGACAATTTTTTTTTTTTTTTTTTTATTATCTTGTTTTTTTTGGGGTTTTTTTCATATTTTCTTTGTTTTCTTTTTTTGATAGCTTATTATTTTCTACATTTTTAACAAAAGTAACAGAAAAAAAAACAACAGTAACAAAAGAAAAGATTACTTCCCTTCATAAATTTAACCCCTTACTTTTCTTTTTTTTTCTTCTTCACAGATGGAAATTCAGAACATTTTACTTTTATTTTCAAAAAAAAAAAAAACACAACATAAAGTTCACTTTTGTGATGAGACAGGAGTTCTTTGACCAAATTCTTGAAAGACATTAGTTGCGATGAAAACAATTAAGATGAAAATTTACAGGTGGCATCAATATGGTTGACATTCATATCACACGGACAACATGACTTCAAAATTTACAAGACTGTTCATGACAAAGTGACCTTAGCTGGACTGTCATCTTGTCAATGAGTCCAAATTCAATCAGTGAAAGTGACATGATGGGACACACAAACCAATGTTTTACCAACATTATTGGCTCTCAAAGTGCATACCTTTATTTCCGAGTCTTTCAATTTTTTCGAAACGCTGTACCGAATTGCATAATCTTGATATTTCTAAAACCTTTATATTTACAAGCTTAGCTTTGTCTGACAGGATAAGATGAGAGGAAATCTCAGGTGGGCTAATGGTACTGTTTCAAGCCGAGAGAGACAAGCCATGAAAAATCAGCATTGAAATTCTAAATTTTATCAGCACATAAATAGCAATTTCAACTGCCTGTAGGAAGTAGGTAACTAGACCAGCTACAAAGCAGATCTCATCAGTATTTCTTAAATAAAAGCTACAGTTCTGCGAGGTATCAAGATACCTTACAAAGAACCTGCTGTGGAGCAGTCTATTGACTTATGAAAAAAAACAATATTTTTATTACTTTAAATGCTATTTTTAGTGGATACTCATATTTGAGTAGATGTTCCATTTATTTGAAATACTATTTCATCTATCGCAACTACTCAACTATGAGTATCAACTAAAAATAATGTTTGAAGTAATAAAAATATATTAGATTAAAAAATAAAATCCATTAATGCAAGAATGTATAATGGAATAGGAATGTAAAATGTAAGCCAAAAAGACGAATGGAATTGTTAGAATTTGCAAAGCTGGTAACGTAAACAATCTGGAGTGTCATTTTGTAAACATGCAGAATGGGCAGAAAATTATATGGTCACATGGGAAAATCGACAACAAAGAGAATTCTTTGATGTCAAGGACATAGAAATAACTTATAAACACAAAGTTTGTAATCAAAAAAAAATATTGTTTTGAATAAGTAACCGATCACAGGTCAATTGTCATCAGGTTATAGAAAGGAATGATAAACAAAGTTTGTTTTTGAAGAATATATTTTGAACAACTGACCTTTTGTTTGATGGTCAGTGTCATTTCTCAAAATTGAGAAAATAATTGATATGAATATTGATGAGTCCTGGTGTGTGGTGGGGCCGGGCAAAATACATATAAATAGAGCACTTAAGTGACCCTGGAGGTGGAGTGAGAGACGGCAAGAGGCATGAACAAGACTAGACAGCAGTGGACAAAGGAACTACTGAATCCCACATGACCTGCTGCCGAGAGAATTTCTGACCAACCTTTCTTTGTTAAAGTGTTAATTTTGTTGTACCAAAAACTATACAAACCCACTGAAAATTAACCTGGTGACCTTCTTTGTTATGCTGTTTTTATTATCACCAGCAGAAGCATTCTTTGAACCAATGGACTTTAGTCATTTTGACTATAAGGTTATAAACTCCCCTGCGACTTCCACTGGTGAAAAGGAAAATGAAGTTCCATTTCAAACAGCTTCTTCTACTTTGTGGAACAGAATCCTGTGAAGATGCTTCCAGGATCACTACAATCTTAAATTTTTCAAGTCTCAGGTCAACTGTTATCTACATAAAACAGCCATATTCAGTGACTCTCTACCTTGAGCAGCTCGTGTGCCTTGTATTGATTGCACAATCGTAAACCAAAAAGCAGAAATAAAAGAAAAAAAAAGGACACTTTTTGTAGTACCATAGTTAGCATGTTCATCTTTAGAACAGTGTAATGAGTTTAATCCCCATTGTGGGTCACACTATGGTAGGCTTGTGTCAGACTAAGCTAAGCTTAGAAAATAATCACTCAAGTATGCAATATTTCTGGTCAGAGAAAATTTTGTTACCAGATCCTGATCCCTGATGAAGGGCTAATGTAATATAATGCCAAACAAGAATAGGGATCTTCTAAACTGTCGTCTGTTGATATTCAATCACCAACTCTTTGATCCGTGCAGAACGTTTGTCGAGGTACTCCATCAATACGTAGAGCAGCCAGAAAAAAAAAAATGCCCAAGCCGCTGAGCATGTAAAGTTTGATGTCAAGAGGTAGGACAGGTGCATAGCTGTAGGCGATGGTCAGGCCCACTCCTTGCATCATGCGATAAGCTGAAAACGCTTCTTCACATGTTTCAGAAAACATCACTCCAGTCAATGCTGAAAAAAAAATTTTAAAAAAATATGAAAAGTAGAGAAAAAAAATGTATATACAAAGGGGTGCTTAATATGAAAAACAAGGAATATTTTCTTGAATTTTGTTTGTATTTCCTTTGTTTTTTTTTGGTTGGTGAAAGATTATGAAGAAACTGTCCATAGTGCTTATTGGTTCTAATAGATTTGACCATTCACTAATCATCCTCAGGAACTAAAATGGAGATATCATTTTCAGAAGATGAAGCACAAAGAGAAAGATTTTAAAAGTGGGAAATTTGGGATTCATCTTATCTTTCCTGACTAACAGTTTTTCAGATATCATATCTATTTATCAGGGTGTTAAATAGTAAAATTTTATCAATTTTAATTTATTAATTATTACTAATCCAAAATTTTACTATCTAACCTATTGGTGGGTGGATAACATATCTGTGAAATTCAAAGTTACAAAAGATATTTTGAACATTTAATTTAATTTGCTTGTTTTAATGCACTGTCTCCCCGCTCTTGATACTGAGCACTTCAATTATAAATCCTGCCCACCTTAAAAGGTGTTATCCTTCAGAAATACATCAGATGACCTTTTCTTTTTTTTATTGTATTGGTATTTCTGTATGAGAATGTCATGGTTTAAGAAATGTACATCAGAAGACATCGGAACATTTAGTGACAGCATCAGTAACTTTTCGTTCTGTAACATGAATTTTGAAAAAATAATCTCCAATAATTTTACAAAATGTTCACTAGCCTGAACAACAGAATAAAAAAGAACTGGCCTCATGGACTGAATCAAAAGATTCTATTTGAAATTCCCAGATTATCAAATTTAACAGATACCTGAAGAAGGCCAGAAGATTCAACTGAAATGTCGTGATGATAATCACCATGATGTGGATGCAAGTCTGAGAAAATCAATTTATAAGCAAACCCACCTTTTTCTTTATCTATAACCTTTTTTTATTTGCTAATAATGTAATTGGGTTGTATTTATACATTTTTTAATGTTTATAACAGTTTATAGCTGTAGCATAACATACAAGCTTACAAATAAACAAAAAACAAGTTCTAGAAGGTTCCATAAAGTTCTAGAATTCTCCAGAAAGTCATAGTACTACTATACTTATATACAATTTTAGAAATTTCATGTTGTGGCGATATTTTTTTAAAAAACAAACTGAATTGTACCATTCATTAATTTTTAACAAAAATTTTTACAGAAAATCAATTACTTTACATAAAGTCAAAAAATGATAAACCTTCAGTGTTTATGTTCTGGGGGTGAAAAGAGAACAAAGGTTTCATACTTTCTGCTGAGTTAGCAAGAGGACAAGACGCAATTGAATAGTTTTGTAACCAAAACCATAGATATAGCACTATACAGAGCCTTTAATTACTGCTGTATGTTCATTTTGATCAGTGTGTGTGTTTGCATGTTAATTCACTACACTATTAACAAAGAAATGAAAAACAAAATAATTTCAGTCTGAAATTCTTTGATGACTAGTTTTCATTATTTAGTTATTTACATTCAGACTAATATCCTCATCTTTGTTGTCACTATTACAATGTTTTGGCTGTTGTGACCTCTAGACTTCTTCAAGTGTCAGTCCACTGTCAATCTAGGGGATATCTCATCTTGTTTTTTAGCTGATCATTTTTAAGAAAAACAAAAATAATTTAGGATTTTATGCATTAGCAAGTCTCAAACATTATGAAAGCATTTCCAACAACAACAACAAAAGTAGGTAACTAGAAGGAAAATAATGATATAATCAAGGTTTAAACTTTTCACACTACAAAAGATTTGGAAGAAAACTTCCATCAATACTTGGAAAAGCAATAACAGTTGATTTGGACAATGAATGACAAATGTTTCCTGTATGAAAACGGCTAATTTTATTACCATAACGAACTTAAAAACCTAGATTAAATCAAAATAGTCCCTTTTTATCTTTTAATACTTACAACATAACTGGGATGCATAAAAACCATCAGATAATCCCCAAAATGCAAATATGAGGATAAAAGGGATAAGAGAGGATGAATCCGGTTGCCATAGCAACAAGGACATGATGATCAGCTGAAATAATAAAGATCCTAAAAAATAGAAGAAAAAAGGAAATTTTATAAATACATGGTTTGTGGTGAATGCTCTGACAGATGCAAGCAGAAAGGTTAGCAATCAAACTTCTGGTTGGCAAAAGAGAAAAGAAAGGAGGGGAAAAACAAGGGAACGGGGAAACCCAAAAATGTTTTTCAAAATCGCTCCAAAAATGCCAAAAAATAATAATAATAAAAAATAAAACTCTTTTTGTCTTTGCAAGAACAACTCTATCCTGGTTCAGGTTTTTGTAACAAAACTCATGCCTTTTTTTCAAATATACATTCACCAAAAAAAAAAAAAAAATTGAAAAAAAATTAAACTTTTATTCTTTTTACTTTAATCATTTGTTTTCTTTCATTCATTCATTTTTTCCCATTTTCATTCCCTAAAGCTGACATGCAAACTAATGCTCAACTATAAAAGCAATAAATAACAACTACAACAACAAGTTACTCTTGAATTTGTTAGTCAAGTTGGGCAAAAAAAATAAAAAAATAGAAAGGGGAGATAAGTCACCTTTCAAAAATGAATTTTCAAGAAACATGCAGAGAGGTTTGTTTTCCTTTTGTTTTTGTAAAATACATCATTCAATAAATTTAGTCATTTTTCAGATTTTTAGAAGAATAAAAAAGTAAAAAGCATTCTTCATTTTCTATTTTTACCCTGTTTTATTTTGCTTCTAAGTATTATTTTATCGCTTTTGCATCATTGAAGACTTGCTTAAGAGCAAATATCTCCCCCAACCTTAGCTTTTAAAAATGAATAAGTTTTCATAAACCTTTAAGTAACATTTACACATATTCTTTATCAGTTAAATAAATACCATCTTGTGCAACAAAATGGTGTACATTCACTAAGCTGGTATCAACATGTCAAAAACAAATATATATTTAAGAATTGTTATATATATATATATATATATATATATATATATATATATATATATATATATATATAGTACTTCAAATATTATAGTGGAGACTTCATATTTGAAATAGCCCATTTTTAATTATTTAATAAAATGTATTGTGTCTATTGCCTACTTTGAACATTCAAGAAATTTTAATAAAGAAAATTTGATTTCTTGAGTATGCACAGGCCTCAGGCCTATAGATATAATACACTCTGTTTATTAAATAAAAATGAGACATCTATTTCAAATAAAAAGTGTCAATTATAATAATATAAGTGTCAGATTAGAAATAAATCTTAATTCTAATTGGTAATAAGATTGATTATATATATATATGATAAAATTGACTAAATTGAAGCATAAAGGGAAAGATCTTAAAGTGGGAATTTTGGGACATGGTCGTGTCCTTTTTCAACAAGATGAATATGAATATATATATATATATATATATATATATATATATATATATATATATCCACTAATAAATATTCATCTTATCTTTCCTGACTAACAGTTTTTCAGATATATCTATTTATCAGGGTGTTAAATAGTAAAATTTTATCAATTTTAATTTATTATTACTAATCCAAAAATTTTACTATCTAACCTATTGGTGGGTGGATAACATATCTGTGAAATTCAAAGTTACAAAAGATATTTTGAACATTTAATTTGCTTCTTTTAATGAACTGTCTCCCACTCTTGATACTGAGCACTTCAATTTTAAATCCTGCCCACCTTAAAAGGTGTTATCCTTCAGAAATACACCAGATGACCTTTTCTTTTTTTTTTTTGGCAAAGCTTATATTTGCTAGTATACATATACAATGATTTTATGAGGAGCTGATTTTATTGCTGATTATTTATGAAACCTATTGATTTTATTGGCAAAATGCTAATTATTGCTCCAATGATAGGTTTCTTTCGATTTTAACCTTTAGCATTCTGTTTTATTAATATTATTTCCTTTTCAACTGCATTCTTTTTCAAGGCCTCTCAATTGTAGTATCCTTATTGCTAATTTCACTCAAAATTGGTTTCTGTTGCCATAGCAGGATATGACAACATAACTATGGAATTCAAATGCACTATTTTTCAAGAATCAGTGACACCTTCAGCAGAAGGATAAACTTTTTGTACAGCAAATAAAGTCATATACAGATTAATTAAGGTTTATGAAATTTTAATTTGACCTAAAAGCTGATACATTCATAATAAAAACTCTCCAATACTAAATGAAATGACTATAATAAGAATCATAATATAAGAAAAAATGAATATACTATCTTTACTCATCTCTTATATTATATATGTGTGTGTGTGTGAAAATTTCTCAGAGTTAACCTGTAGAAAAGACTATATTTATAAATATAAATGACAATAGGAAAACTAACAGTTGCCAACATGTGTGGACTTTCTCAAGGCAAAAAACAAAATAACTAATAATAACAAAACAAAATGTCCTTAGCAACTGAAAGAATTTAGAGAACACTATTTTCATATTGTTAACTGAAAATTACGTCAATTACTGTCACGTGTGGAGATATTGTTACTGTGTTGACGGATTCAACCATTTTCTTTTGATTTTATCATATTGTTGTGTATGTTTGTTTGGGAGAGTAGTAATTCTATTAAGAAAGGTGAAATAGGGAAAAAGCCTGGGCGTAGATTAATATTTGGGTAATATTCAATGGCAGCACTCTCGAGGATTTTCCTTCTGAGTGAGTTATTTTCTTTTTTATGAGTGTAGCATTTTTAAAATCAAAATTGTGGTTGAATTTATTTCTATGTATGACTAGTGCATTAGCTAAGTTGTTTTTTGTATGCATCGGCAACTATGACAGTTTTCCTATTGTCATTTTATTTATTATATAATATATATATATATATATATATATATATATATATATATATATATATATATCTGTACTGTGAAGTACCTTTGTTGTCAAAAAACTGTGTCACATTTGTCTTTCGTTATATAGTTAAGAACTCACAGGTCAAGTGAAGGTGTCCAATGATCTATTAATCTGAAACATGGATAAAAGGTGCACACACCAAAAATTGGGATCAAACAAAACCAATGTCAACTAATGACGAGTATGAAAAATAAAATGGCTTTCATTTGTAAATGGACGATAAAAAAATAACTTGTTTGAGTCAACCATTATTGATAAAAAAATGTCTGTCCAACATTTAAGTGTCAATATTTCACAATAATTTACACCTTTGTAGGTAGCAACTCATAAAAATTAACCATGTGAAAATTTGAATATAAATTGGTTGATAAATAGCACACGGTTGACAAAAGTAAATACAATATTGTGCAAACAACAAATTAATATACAAAACTAATAATGAAAAGTATAAAATTTTCAAAATATTTAAGCTTCCAAACAATGCGGTTATCATTATTATTAATATAGGTAAATAGTAAGAATACTAATAATAACATAAACAAAAAGAAACTAAAATAAATTGACTAGACTATATACCAAAACATATTTAAAAAAAATTTTAATTTAAATTTTAAATTCCAGCAACTCCTCTCCTTCATGCACATGTGTAATCACATGGATATAAATATTATTTTAGTCTGATGAAGTCCTAAAGGACAAAACATGTCTCACAAAAACCTTGCTTTCTTAATATATATAGTATTATTTTTTTTTTTATAAAAGATTATAATAAAAACATGTTGAAATTGCTACACAAAAGCTTTCATGTGTCAATATTTTGATTGTACTTCCTGATTGTAAGTAACTGGTGATTAAATGATTTTTAAGAAAATTTAATCACCAGTTACTTATCACCTGAAGAAGTACAATCAAAGTATTGAAACATGAAAGTTTTTGTGTAGCGATTTCAACATGTTTTTAATATAATCACTTATAAAAATTTAAAAGTAAATGCTACAGTGAAATTTTACTACATCTGTTCCTTCTTTCATTTGTGTGTGTGTGTGTGTGTGTGTATGTATATATATATATATATATATATATATATATATATATATATATATATATGTATGTATGTATCTTGCTGTGATTTTACTTAAAATGCACAGATAATACACTCTGCTCCTAGAGGGTCAAAGAAAATATTATGATCCTAAGTAGAAATGCCAATCCATACATAAATAATCCAATCATTTTTACAGATAATATATATATATATATATATATATATATATATATATATATATATATATATATATATGATAAAATATATAGTTTTATTTTATGCTATATTTATAGATAAAAGTGCTCAATATCATGGATAGAGTGTACATATATATAAAAGTGGGCACTGAGCAGTAACAGTGTTTCATGCTTGAACACAATGCTCAGGCCGTCAATTTTTTGATGGCATTCAACCATGAAACAGACTGTCCATATATATGTTTCATGGTTGAGATCATATGTATATGTTACCCCAACCATGCCATTCAAAGCCAGTTTGGTGACTAAGTGAGAAGTACATTTCTATACTTAATAGTAAAATTAAAATTCTGAGATGCAAATTTCTTGACCGTAATAATTCCACTAAGGTAGGCCAAAAATGAAGAAACAAATTTGATAAAAAATATATACAGATTAATTTTGGGAAATATTGTTTTAGAATAAAGAATTTCATATTGGATTTTAGCAGAAATATTAACAATCAAAATAACTATCAAAATCTTTTAAATTTTTTTCTTGATTTTCAGAAATGTTTAGAAATACTTGGAATTTTAAAATCTTTCAAAGTGCAAAACTTTAAACTTATTTCATTTTTTCTTTCTGTTTTAGGCTAGGGTATAATGAATTCTTTATAAAAAATCAAAAAAAATCACTGACTTGATCTTTAAAATAATCATAAGAGAAATTTTGGTTTAGTTTTAAGAATTGGCCATGCTGAAGTCAGTCATTACATACTGCTCAAGCAAAGAGATATGAAAATCAATGTAAGCAGGCAATACTAAACAGAACAATTTATGCAAGTGAAATTGTAATCATTAAAGAGGTTTATGTCTAAATTTCTAGAATGATGAATTATCATTATTTAGATTGTTTACATGCAAACTCATCTTTGCTGTTA